TTGTTAGGCTTTCACCATTTTGTCCGTTAATAAACATTCTGGACAAAATCAGTACTTCTCAAATCACATTAGTAGGTCATTTAGGTGATTTACGAAACCTTCAACTGATGCTAAGCTTGCGTGCTCGAGACAGCTAGCTCAATTTCCTTCATTTTATTTCCCTCTAATTATTTGTTGCAAAATTTCGAACACGTTTTTACCACTGTGGCCTATCATTTCTTAGCACCTTGGTCAGTTTAGTAACACTGAGCATAACATGCCAAGATATGAATATTTTCTTCTAGAAAATTCCAAACTGCAAAGAAAATTTAAGGCCCAAGAAATAATGATTTCTCTCTCAAATACTACAGATGAATGGACGTTCCAGCTGAAAATTAATGAATCATGACATCAGCATCAATCAAATGGCAGCAAAAAACTAAAAGCACGTGGAGCTCTCGTCAAAAAAATGGAAGGTAAAACTCAAAGTACAGCACAGAGAAAACAAGATGCAATGAGACCAGAGACAAGGATTCGCTAGAAAATCAATCATGCAAGCGAAACTCTGATAAGAAATGACATATTATGGAAAATACTTCCTCTTCTATTGCGAAACGAATAATAGCCTAAAAACTCAACCTATGTGAACTTCCAGTGAACTGATGCAAGTAAGTTCAGGAGCATCACTGACATTATTTGTGATCTTTTCATAACACGGCAGATATTTCAGCGAGATACGCATATGGATATGACAGGGAAGAAAATGGAAGCATAATTCATCGCTTACTCTGCCTCGTCTACTACACGTAAAAAGGCAGTGATAAAGTCAACAAACAGGCTTAGTAGTATGTTTTCCGGTGATATGCTTCTGGATCACCTCGTCCAGCTTCGGACAGAACACCTTTGACTTTCAGAAGCTCTCTTTCTTCCAAGTAGTCTTCGGACGACATTTCCGCAAGCAGTGCCCACTGGTTTACGAACATCGCTGTAAACGGAGATAACAGCATAGGTGAAGCAAAAGTCAAACGATAAAATCAACCTTTCCACACTCTGACTGTCCCATCGCCACTGGATGCTGTCAGCACCGTCCCAGTAACATTATATTTTATCCTCCAAGCTGGGCGTTCTTCACCAAGAACAGCAACCTACGAATAAGTGAAGAAGATAACAATGTAGACAATGCACCAGA